GCCATGTTTTTTAATGGATGTCAGTTATCAGCTATCTCCTGTTAATTACCCTCTTAACCGGGTATTGAACTCGCACTCTTTGGGTCCTGTCACTGGATCTAACCAACGCCTTTATCCACTGTGCCATGTGTCCTTGAAGTCCTTTCATTTTATTATTGTTTTCCCTAAAATTGTTCTTGATTTCTATATTGTTTTTCTATATTTATAAATATACATAGCAAAGAAGATAAATTCCTTAGTTCCACCAGTTCAGACCTTCATAGCTAGGACCCGCCATGTTGTGTACATGGTATCAAATCATCCTCATTCCCTTCACATTTCTTTGGTAAGAAGTAAATTCCACTTGGATAGCTTCTTCCCTACAATTGCTACTTTGTGGAACAGACTCCCAATTGTCAACTGATATTTACCTTATATATCCTTCATATATATATATATATATATATATATATATATATATATATATATATATATAATATGCATTCCTTCCTTACAACAATCTCACTCAGTAAGCTTCTACCTTGGTTCTTGTATTGAGTGAACTAAAGTTAAAAAAAAAAAAATAGAAAATAACAAGTATTATTATAATTATGCTTGTTCCTTACTTACTTAGCATGTATGTTACTCCCTGCTAAAACCTCATAGATAATGGACTATTCCATTTTGATTGCAAAGAAAGATGAAAAAGATGTATCAGAGGCACTGTTTGGTTTCACTGAAGGAAAAAAAAAAAAAGAGAAAATAACAGGAGACAGTAATGTTCTCATGTGTTAACCTCTGCCTCGGTGAAATGAAAAAGCTTTTCTGTGTTAAATCTTTTCATTTGTACCATCTTACTTATTTAAATAAGGACCTGCATTCATTTGTATGATTGTTATTGCAATATTTTGTTAAAGTTATTAAACTCAAATATTTAATGATGCAAAAAGGGGAATTTCCTCAGGTATTTTGTAGTTGTGGAACTTGCAAAAAGTTTAAGCAATCATTGACTTAAGAATTAGAATTCCTCATAAAATTCAAATAGCAAAAATCAGGAAATTTTCATGGGTACTAATAAAATTAAATGTACAAACTTATCTTGAAGTTTCACGGATATGATATCCTCTTGTCAGAGGATATGAAATTAAAATTGAATTTATCTATAGGTATAAAATATTTCTTAACACTAGGATGGCCGAGGTGTCGTTTTCGACACCTTCAAATTTTCAACAAATTACTATGGAATAACTAGTTTTGGTTTGATGCTGAGGCTTATGCACAATTATTGAATTTTAGCAAAGATGCTTAACAGACTTAATTCTTTAAAAAATATTCAGTGGAATAGCTGATATTTGAGGTTTTACCTTGAATGGCTGAGGTGTTGTTTTTGACACCTAGGCTATATATAGGGTAAATGCATTGAAAGATTTCTTACAAGCAATAATACTTGTGTTTATGTCCCCTATCTATCTATTTATCTATCTATATACACACACACACATAATTTATATATATATATATATATATATATACCCAAGTATATAATTGGTATGTACGGAATGAATTCCAATAACCAACAATTACTATTCTTAAAAGAGTGCTCAATACAAAGTAGAGCAGACATAATTATTTTTTATAAAAAAAATTATAACATAAGTATGTTATAAAATCACTACAAAAATAGCCATTTTGTTTCAACACACTCTGTGTCTTATCAAGTGATGATGTTGAAAATAAAATAAATGGTTTTAAAAGTTTCAGATTAATTAACGATCATACACTAGGGAGAAACATTGTTACAAAAGCTAGAATAACCAATCAAAAATGAAGTATAGAAAGATTCAAAAGCTTGACAACGAAATCATGTTCTATTCAGATCTTTAAATATGTGTAATATTAAAAATAATTTATACTAACCAATAATTATAAAATTATATGATAAAATTTAATATTAAAATTAAAAACTGGCAATTTTAAAATCCAAATTTAATCACTATTAAGTTTAAAAACTACAAAATTATTGACAAAAGAAAAAATATATATGTTTATTCAATTCATTTCTTCACTGAAATTACGTTCGACAAGACGCTACAATATCTCCGGTCATTTGACAATACATGTATATATATTTTTTTTTTTTTTCTTTTCCTTTTTTTTTTTATTTTAAAGTGTGTGAATGTGGTCTTAAACTCACGCCAAAAACAACAAAAAACACAATCAGATTATAATACATAAGCACCCAGACATAATTAGACACACACACACACACACACACACACACACACACAAGTGGTGGGGGGGCGAGACATGAAATCTCTACAGCCCTTTATGAAAAAAGGAGACGTGGAAACCAACACTTATACACACACACAGTTAAATGTGAATACACTCTACATACACATAGACACCGATAGATACACATACATACATCCACAGACAATGACATAGACAATCAGATATATAATCACTTTCTTTCAGTATGAGGTATACTAATTTTTGTGAATTTCTTTTCAGACTTGTTATTCCTGACTTGAATATTGAATATATTAAAGATGGCTGCTTCATGGCGTAATGTAAATAAAGATGTCAAAAGAGCTGGACATCCTAGTGTTAAAAGCTGTTACTCATTTTCTCTAAAAAGATTAATTTCCGACATCAATTCATTGTAAATTTGTACTGCATTTTATATCATCATTGGCTTCAGCTCCTCTGACCACAGCACCACTTCATAGATTGTATCAACAAAATATGATTTCTTATTTCTTTTATTATATGAGAGGGACAGGCCTGATAGCATTGGTTCTAGGAGGCAGTGAGGGGAAGAACTTCAAGGAAATGCATACTTGTTGGCTTAGCATCCAACCATGTGGAGCCTTAGCCTGTCTATAGATTTTGGCTGTGGGAAATGTATTGATGCTTCAAAATTCCTGCAGTCCTCTGATGACTTTGTGCTGTTTTGGTCTTATATTCAAAACTTAGATAAAGGCAACTGATCACTGTCAAAATACCAAATCCACAAGGTATTTTGACCAATTGATGACCATCCTGGCCCATCCTCCACATTTATAACATTTTTTTTCTTTTTTTAAAAACATTATTGCATGGCACAATCTAATTTGAAATTGTTATGTGTTACATATGAGTTTTTTTCCATCATGAGCAGAAATGTGAGTTGAACGGCAATTAAGTATATTGTTAATATAATTTGGTTATTTGAGTGGTTTGGTTTGTTTTACAGAAAATCAACCTCAATGGGTTATTTAATGCCAACAACATTCTTATTACTGGTAATTTTTTTTTTTTTTTTAAATGTATTGCTGGTAATATTTTTGTTTTTTCAAAAAATGTATTGATGGTAATATTTTTTTTCCAAAAATCTGTTGTTGGTAATATTTTTTTCTTCAAAAATTCATTGCTGGTAATAATTTTTTACATAAATGTATTGCTGGTATTAAAACCTATTTTTACACTTCCATAATGTTTTGACCCCTGTTTGGGGGTTAACTATTTGCCCGTAGCTGGGACCCCAACAGGTGCTACCACCCCGGGTCTGGGTGGACCTGGGAACACTAGCAATTAAGTGGTGGTTTCATGATCCTCAAAACCTCCTGATCAGAGGCCTTGCTGTTGGACATGGTTTATCATCTTACCCAGGACGCGGATGTAGTTTATCATTATATCCAGGACATTGGATGTGTGAGTGTATGTACAAATGGTTCTCAATTTATAATGGTGTAATGATTTTTCTTGTTGCCTTGTGACACTTTGCATTTTAGTGATGATGTACAATATATTTCCATCAATGTTGTGATAAGATAATGGTATCTACCTAGTTTCCAGTCTTACTAGCATTAACAATTAGTGTTTAACTTTGTATAATACATATACATGTATTATATGGGTGCATGGCCAAGTGGTTAGAATGTTCATTTTCTGATCATGAGACACAGGTTTGAATCTCGCCATAGCTGATTTTTCAATTGGCTGACTTTTTCATGTTATTGGTCTGAGGAGGCAATCACAGTGTACACTAAAATTGCTGATGGCGTATACAGTAATAGCAGTGTTAAGGAAAAGCTGTCTGATATTTTTTATTTATTTTTTTTTTTTTTTTTCAATTTTCTAGAAAGTGACAAAATCTTAAAAATTAGCCATTATCATTTATGAAAATGAAATCAGGATGTAAACTTAGAGTTGATATGCAATTTACTAAACTGCAGATTTGGTTCTCAGTTGCATGCTACAGAAAATAATGTGAATATTTTGACCTGTTACTGAGCTTAAATGCTAGCGTCAAGAATCCTTGCTAAATATAAGTTCAGTCTTCAATGTATTCACCAGTGTTATACTAAACTTCTATGTGCCATGTTCCTTTAGGATGTGACTGATCATAGCTCTCCATAACTTCCTATTCTTCTGTTTGTTTCTTTGCTATCTTTTCCAGTTTCTGTTCTGCCATTCATTTGCACACTCGTTACGTACATTAATCATTGTTTCTGCCTGACCCTCTTGCCTTCAGTATGTCCTGTGAGTGTCAAATTCTCCAAGCTGTCTTTCCTCATGTGTTCCAGAAATTTTAACTCTCTATCTGACTCTAAGTACAAGTGCCCTTTTTGTTCCTATTTTCCTTACAACTTCCCTTTTGCTAACATGCTCTGTCAATGGTATTCTCAGCATCCTTCTGTAGAGCCACATATTAGTTTAGAGAAAACCTGGGACAACAAAGTTCATGAAATATCTATTGCTGTCATTAAAATCTTAGTCACACTAGTAAAAGTACTAATTGAATGAAAACTAATTCCATTTGACAATTTCACTTTGAATTTCTGATATTACTTATTATAAATATACTAGCATAGTACCCATAAAAAATAACAGGATTATTTATGTATAGCCAAGGATCAGAGTAGTGTCTGTGCACTCTGTCAAGGATCAAAGTGTTACTACCCAGCCTTGGATTAGTAACTGTGCACTCTTCCTAATTTAGTATTTGCAAGTTAATTTCAACATGCTGCACAGCTTACAGCCATGTCACATTGAAACACTGGTTCTCGTATGATCACTGAGGTTAAGCAACATTGAGCCTGGTCAATAACTAGATGGGTGACCACTTGATAATATCAAGTGCTGTATGCTTGGATTTGAGGGTAGTGTAATGATAACGGCTTGGAATTGGAATTTGGATAGCCGAATAGAGAAGCAAAGGAACTTACAGAAAGTCACATTGTACAAAGCGCGACAATTTACCATAATTTCTTGAAAATAATACGCATTTTTTTACTGTAAATTACAGGTGATAGTAGAGGTGTGTATTATAAATAGGTTTAAACAAAAATATTTTTTCATTATTGATTTATAATAATAACTATGTACTTGTTGTTTTAAAATAAGAAAGATATTATCCCAATTTTCATTTTAAATCCAACAATAATAATTGTAACTTTTTTTTTTTTTTTTTGTCAATAAATTTGTTTATCAGTAACTGCATTTTTTATTTGGCGAAAAAATAAAAAATCTATACAAAGGCCAATTTCAAAGAAAAGAGGATATCAAGTTAACAATTTATTGAAATTTTAATTTTCATTATCATCCTCACCATTTTCTATTATAGAATCAATATCCAAATTGTCATTAAACAAATTATCATTCACTATATTATCTTCGTCCTGTTCAAAATTATCTTTAGCCTCTTCATTCTCTTCAAATATGTTAGCCTCATTCAACTGGTATTCTCTAGCTGCGCCTCTATTTCCTATTCTTTCTGCTAATTCTATTATTTTTTGTTTAAAATTTGCACTGTATCTTACATGTTTTGTCGACATTTTGGCGGTAAAATAAAATATATTTATTGGGAAAACCGCATGGTAATTTTCAACATTAATTTAGCCACTTAGTTTCAGTTTTATTCTTAATGTCAAGGTCGACAAAATGTCTTTGTAATTATTTTATTTTTTTGACTAAATTAATAGATTCACATTATACATAGGGATAGATATGTTTCTTAATTTTCGGATGATTTGTTGGGGTGCATATTATTTATGGGTGTATATTATTTATGGGTGTATATTATTTATGGGTGTATATTATTTTCGAGAAATTACAATAATTGCCAGAATGGCCCTGTGAAAGCAAAGTTTGTTTACCTGGTCACTATTGGCTGCTGTCACCTCCACAGTATGCCACTGTCCGACCTATACATTTCATGCCACTGTCCGACCTATACATTTCATGCCGCTGTCCGACCTATACATTTCATGCCGCTGTCCGACCTATACATTTCATGCCGCTGTCCGACCTATACATTTCATGAGACGATGGTGCCATTGTTGAAAATTTTCTTGGAATAAATTTTCTGCAACACCTTTCATTAATGTAGCCATTTGTGACTGGATATCAGAAAATCTTCATCCTTTCTGGGTATTTTTAAATTTTGGAAATGGCCAAAATTCCCAGAGCTAAGTCTAGTGGATAAGGTGGATGGCTTGATTTTGTAACAAATTGTCTTACCATAAACATGCAGACTCCTAATGCATCATGGCTAGGAGCATTGTCATGATGGAGAATTTGCATATCAGACCAGAGTTCCTTTAAATCCTCATAACCCTTTTAACATTTCCATATATTTGCATTTGTTCTTTGTGTTTTTCGATACTTGTTTCTTCTTGTATGATTGTGTATACCTTCTCACCCTTCCATTTGTGCAACTCAAAAACACTTAATTATTTTTTTCACAACCTCAATCTTTAAAATTTTAAATACAATGTCAATCGTTGTCTTCTATCTTAATTCTTGTTCTTATAATGTTCTCTCTCTTTAATAGAGTTTGTTTTTTTCCTCTCATATTCGCTAACACTCAATAACTGCTTGCATCATAGTGGCTTTATTGCCTTGCTTGGAACAAAATGATTTAAAAAAAAAAAAAAAAGGAAAGTTCACCATAAGCCATTTTTAATAAGGCTAACATTTCACTGGCATATGTACCAATCTTCATACAAAAGCTGATGTTAATTGGCTGCTCCAGATTCCTTTCATTTGTTTTCTGCCAACAGCATAACATGAACACATAACTTCCTCTACTTCAATGAATGACTCATTGATCTGCATTTCAAAAAAGTCAGAACACATATGGACATGTTCAGATACAAATGTTTGCCTGACTTATGACCCAAGTGAGACAGCCATTTCCAGGAATTGTCATACATAATTATATATGATATTTTCAGATGACACACACACACACACACATACATACATACATACATACATACATATATATATATATATATATATATATATATATAAAAGGATATTTCTCTACATATTTATTATGCTTGCTCTAGCAAAGAGCCAAGTAATAAATAAGATTGTATTGTGCCAATCTATCTAATGGAAAGAACCAACCTGCCTTGAGAATCAACATTTGAATTCCAGGGTTTGATCACTGGTACTGGGAAAAAAATTTGCAACTACATCAACAAATAAATCTAATTGGGTATATTTGAATAGAAAAGGCAATGTGCCATGTGTTGAATCACTTCACTGCATATCCTCCTGGTGTCAGTCTAAACTGATACCTTCTTTTTGTACATATATTGTGACCATTTCACTTAAAGTTCATAGTTTCTTGATTTCAGATGAAAAGCTTGAAATTTTCCAATGTATATCACTGAAATTTTCACTTTAAAAAAAAAAAAAAAAGTATGTAACGATGACTTGTTGTTTTAGGGTCTTAAATTTAGGGGGCTACAGAGAACTGTTATTGCATCGAATGTTTTTTGGTTTCTGAATCATAGTAGTTTAACTAATTTTTATCAATAGTGACAAGTAAATTTTAACCCAAGCAAAGTGATAATGCCACTAAGATGAAAGAGATTACTGGGTATAGAAGAGAGCGAGAAAAACTTTAGTGAGAAGAAAGCCCAATAAAAGAACAGGAATCAGGAAGGCAGAAGATGGCGATTAACATTACATTTAAATTTTTGTAGATTGCAAGGAAGCAAAAGAGTTCCACGGGTGAGAAGTGCAAGAAAAGAAACTATTAGAGTAGAACTTACTGTTACATCTAGTTATTTCTATAGTAAAAGGACGAAACCTAGTAACCAATCTATTAGTACACTTAAAGTCATGCAGTTGAAGTACCAAGAAGGAGAGCTTGTTAGAAAAACGGCCATGAAAATATTTATAGAAAAGACAGAGGGAAGCCATGTCATGGTGGTGGCGAAAGTGACTGAAGTCAAGTCCCAAACATTAACTAGAGCATTGAAAATTATGCAAAATCAACAAAGGTAATTGAAATTTCTAAGAGATATAATGAGAGAAGAAGGCTTGCAAAATTTGACACTCGCAGAACATAAGGAGGAAAGAAGGCTTTAAAAATTGACACTCATAGGACATATTGAAGGCCAGAGGTAAACAAAGTGTAACCTACAAAATAAGCTTAAATAAATGGATAGCGAGACAAGAAGTGGGAAAGATAGTGAAAACAAAAAACGCTAAGAGAAACATAGGCTAGATAGTTTGTTTGATATCTTTTCTGGTTGCCGTTCAAACATTTTGTATCCACATGGTTGACAGCCCCGATTGCCTATATATGCAACACATTCCCTCATCATCTCTTATGTCATAGGAATTCCTTTGGCTATGATTATAATAATCAACTGTTTCAGGAGTTAGTGCCATTGAAAGCCTCCCAGACAATACTTCATCTTGGGTCTCAAGATCTCCATGTATGAAGTTGACACATCACTTCTTCACAGTTGAATATGACAGTCATTTATTGTTCAACGTTTGCATCATACACGCATTGATTTCTTTCAGAATTTTCTTCTGCAGAAAGAGGAACTTCATTCTGGCCTGAAGTTCAACATTGGAAAGTTCCACATTTTCCATTGACTTGTTTCAGTCGAGAATCCAAAATAAATGCAAGGATCTTGCAAATTGGCACTTCACAAAAATATTGAAAAAGAAAAAGAAGTACAATCTCATGTATGGTGGAGTAATGGATAGCGGCTCGGATTGAGGAATTGGAAAGTCGACTTTGAATTCCTTTCGAATCCATTACATTCACTTACGTGTTTATACCCTTGGGGAAGTGTTGTGTCAGAAACTTGCCACCCCTCTTGAAGATGAACTTGTCTGCGTCTGTGAACAAAGACTTTAAATAGTGGACATAGGGGAGACAGATAGACAGAGAAGTCCTTAGCTGACTTCCGACGTCTGTCGAACTCTCTGTGTTAGCAGAGAGGAACCCAGGGACGCAGGCTTTGCCGAAGGGCAGGTTTCGTCCGGGGGAGGTAGACAGGGCCTGAACCTGTCTAATCGGCTTCAAAGGCTATTTTGGCCGAGCCTACGGGCTAAGAGAAACCCTAATAAAACTGGCCTTGTGCCATATTCGTTTCCCGTGGGTGAAATGATAAATACCCAGAGAAGTTCTTAGCTGAGCTAGTTATTGACTACTCAGGCAATTTCTGTACCTTTTTACCAACCTATTAAAACCCTTTTTATTGTTATGTGTTATTTGGCATTTGTCTCTACTAACCCCAAATCAACATCATAACAGGAAGATATGAATCATCTTCTTCCCCCCCCACGTTATGGGTAAATAGCAGGACAGGCCAGGTTCTGTAGCCTTGGATGGCAACTGGTCTACCACAGAAAGAAATAGCAACCTACTGTGGGGGGGAAAAATCTGCCTCATCAGTCATGTATTAAAAGATACATAATTGCCTAAGCGTGTATTATGCATAGTATTTTAAATGGAAAATTATATATTCACCAGCAATGACATGCAGTGGCTTATATAGAAACTCTGATACCTTTTGACTAAAATGCCACATATTTATTATGGACAATTTTTCAATGAATTCTTGAATCTGGTTTTCATTAAAAAAAAGCTTTTCCCATCAAAGCATTTTACTGCTATCAAAAAAGATGATTGGTTGATGTTACGGCTGGCACAACACAAAATAAGAACCAGATTTGTAGAAATTAAGGTTGAAGGAAAAAGATTACATCTAATAACAAAATGCAGATTTTATTTTACATATAATACAATGTAAGCAAATATATGGATATAGATCCGACAGTATGAAGAAAAATATATACGGAAAAAACAAACAAAAATCCTTATATACA